ATGCTTATAATTATTCTTTAGTTATATTTATAGACACTCATTTTTGTCTAGGGTACGATTAATTTCTCAATTTGGGTATTTTCGAGATCGTTAAGCCTCAAAGAAGTTCATGTGCAAACTTCTTACATTTTATTTCATTTGGGCTTTGGCCCAATTATTATTGTATTATTATTATTATATTATTATTATTATTGGTTTAATTTTAGTTATTAAAAAAAAGGAAACGAAATTAGAAAACTTTTCTAGAAATCATGTGTGTGTGGAACTGGAAACAAAATTAACCTCAATCGATTAAAATTAGAATTTCTAAATCAAAGCAAATTAAGATTAGATATGTTGGTGACAGATCCAATCTTAAGGCAAATCCTTAAAATTACTATCTAATATTTTATAAATTGCATTCCCATAACACACAAAAAAGGGCACAGTTAAAATCTTCTAGGGTTTCTTAGTTTAGAGAGGAAATATTAGGTTTTTGCAATTAATTTTGATTTTGGGGTTTTTAGATAGTTCTGTTTTGAGGTTTTAATCCCTAGGTTTTAGATTGGTTTTGGAAATATGAGAAGTCACTGGGAATAGTTGTATATTTTTTTAGGTTTTCCAATTTGAATACTTGAATTTCTGAGTTTTTGTTCATATTTTTGGGTTTTTTATGAGCTTTTTGGCTAAAGTTTAAGTTTTTCGGTTAGGCTCATGGTGGCTAAAAGATTTTATGGTAGCTAGATTTTGGGTTCATTAATTTTTGTGAAAAAGTTTAAAGTTTTCAGTAGCCAGTTGAATTTTCCAACATCGAATATTGAGTTTTTGGCTGAAGTCTAGGATACTTTGAAGTTTATGGTGGAGGGTTGAGAGGTCAGAGAAATATTTTTGGAGAAAAAAAAAGATAGCCTGGCTTTTGAGGAAAGCATATTATTTTTGGGTTTTACACTAATCTTGGTATGACGTCGTTTTGGAGTCCCAAAACCCATCTAGGATCCGTATGGATCCGCGCACGACCCGCGTGTTAAACTCAACTCGATCACAAGTTTTCTTTTTTCTTTTTTCATTTTATTTTTCATTTCCATTTTTGTTTATTTTATTTTTCTAAATTTTCTTATTTATTTTCTATTTCATTTTATTTATTTTTTATTTTTTAGATTCTTTTTAATTTCATTTATTATCATTATTATTAATTTATTTTAAATACTTATATAAATTTCATTTTTTCTAAATAATAAAAATAAAAAGATATAATAAAAATGTTTCTAAAGAGAATTCATGAATCCTACCAAACTTTCAGGGGTTTCTTCATGAATTTAATTTTTTATGAATTTTATCAAACTATTGGAAGGATTTGCATCTTAAATTAAATCTTACCAAACTATTGAAAGTTTAATATATTTTCTATAAAATAATCTTATAATAAAATCTTACCAAACTATTAGGAGATCTGCATTAAAGTAAATCTTACCGAACTATTGAAAAATTTTACTGATGATTTCTTTAACTAAAATTTAAATGAATTTGACGACGAAGTCTCTTCAGGCTAAGACACTAATTTTCATGAATACTCCTAATGTGAGAGAATTATCTTAAATTACTACCAAACATTAGAGTAATTTTAAAATTAATTTTTAATATTAAATATTTTGGTAAAACATAAATATAGTTAAGGCTTGGATAATTTGAAATCAAGTCATTACCATCCTTTAAATGGGTGCTGTGAGAGTGCTATAACATTACTCATACAGAATCGTACTTTTGAATCTAAAATCTAGTTTCATGGACTAGAATCTACTATTTAAAGATACCTAAGTTAATTTTAGAACTTCTTTTTAAATGGGACAGATTTTGTCAAGTGACTAATCACATCTAAACAAAAATATTGATGGCGATTCCTAAAGTCTACGTTTAGTGGTAGGTCCAAAATCTATACATTATGACAATATCCATTAGGCTATTTATGACGAATTCATGTTGAATAAGTAGATTTAAAAAATAATTCTATTTTGATTCTTGCACATTCTTGTTTTGCTTGAATACAAGCAAAAATCTATTGAAGTAGATTTTGATTCTTGCACATTCTTGTTTTGCATGAATACAAGCAAAAATCTAAGTTCAGGGGTGATAATTCTATATTTTTATAGAATTATTATAGCTTTTCTTGGTTCTTTATGATGAAATTTTCCTTATTTCATAAGAAAATTGTGAAAAAATACTCCTAACTAGTAAAATGTTCCTTGTGTAAGTATTTTTATGATTTTTTAGGAAAAAGGATTATTTAAAGAAGAATTTGAGGCAAATTGGTGCATTTTCCCCTTACTGGCCGAACATAATGTACAAAGGAAGCCATTGCTTACTTGAAGGTTTTCTAGCTTATATTTACTTGTTTTAATGTGTATTTGAGCTTAATTAGACCTACTTCGAGTCATGATATTTATACTTACCTTGCATATTTTCTTACTTAAGCTAATGGAAGTTGTTTGAGCTTTGTAGAGAAAATGCATACAGGCTTAAGGAAGAAGATGTAAGAAGTTACAATTTCAAGGCCTTTTAGGGAGCTGATTTAGAGCTCAATTTTTCTGAAATTTAACTTGCTTAGTTGGCATTTAGAAGACATGTCATTGGCTAAAAATGTCTCTCATGGATCAATAAAAGTGGCGCCTCAATGAAGGAGCAAGAAGAGATATAAGTAGCCGAACATAAAGGAACTTCATGAAAGCATTAAGTGAGAACAGAAGGGGAGGCCAATGGTTGTTACTAGATTGGCACTTCAAAGACTTCTTACTGTTTCAACTTAAGTGCACTTAAAGCTTGAAGAACTTAAAGAAGAGAGGACTTGAAGAGAAGAGAAGAAAATAGTGCAACTATAAGAGCTTCTTGAAGATTTTAAATGAGCTGGAAATTTCGTCCCACTTGGCATCCAATGTGGCATTTTGGATGGTGTTCTTTGGTTCTTCAAGATCTATAAATCCTTTATAAATAGGATTAGAGAGGAGGCGGCAAGAGAGTCTTTTTCATTTTTTTTTTTAAATTCTACACATTTATAGTTTTTGCAAATTTTTTTTCTAGAGCATTCTCTTTAGGGAAAACTATTGCAGATGCAGAACCTAATCGGTACTTCTAACTTGTGCTTCTAACTTGATTTCCAAATCCTCCATTGATACAGAGCATCCACTCCTTTCTAAAGATGAAACTAAAACAAAAAGCAGACTATGAATCACGGAGTGCGGTTATTCAATCCTAGTAGTCATGGTTACCACTGTATCCTAAAGCTTGTCTAAGAATTTTAATAAAGATGAAAATACAAATCTCAAAAGGAAACCCTTAAAATGTTCACCAAAGATCCACAGACTCTATAATTTCAAAGAAAAGGCAAAAAACAATAAACAGAGAAAACAAACCTTGCGAATAAGCATAGAAAGACGACACACAGGGAAACTTACAAAAAAACAACGCATATATCGTAGATAAGAAAATGAAGATGATAAAAGGAATGTAAATCATGGAAAAAGAAGAAACAATCATGAAAAAAGACGAAAAATTGAGAGAAAAGTAAGAAATCTCTAAACCTAAAGAGAGACGCTCACAACTAGAGAAAGAACATATGGATTGTACCCTTTGATTATCTAATATTTGAATTTATTTAAGTTTTTAACGGATAGTATGCAAAATATGTAAAATATTATACTTATGAAAAGATTCGAATCTTAACATACAATCTTTATATTTTAATAATTAAAAATGAAATTAAATTTTAAATTAAATTCTTATTTATTTTATATTTTGATAAAAAATTCAAGTATATAGATATTTTAATAAATTTAAATATTTAACGAATAATATTTATTTAATTCGATATATATATTCAGATAATAACATTATATTTAAACAAATAATTAAATGAATTCAAATATCATCAAAATTAAACGAATTGAAATACAAATATCTCAAAAATAAAATATCTTGCATATACCACGACTAATTAACTATCAACATGTGACTAACGAGAATCAATATGACTTTGGGCGTGCTTGACCATTTCTCCTGATAATCAAATCAAAGTCAGTACTTACCCGTTCCACAAGCCCCCGTCTGCTTATACCTCTCACCATTCCACCCATTCTCCCCCATTGCAAGGACCGCTACACCTTTTTTTCCTTTTCCTTCCCATGGAATCCAATACTTTCACGTGATTCAAGATATATAGCAAATACTCCACATTATTCCCAGGTTGATCAGAGGCAAAAACTACTGTTAGACAACTAATTAGCCCAAGTTGATTATGTAAGTGATGACATATATTAAATGTTTAGTCGTCACTAAACAGCTAGCAGATCAAGTCGCCTTTTCACTTTTGCTCTTATGAACACAATTTAAAAAGGCAACATATATAATATTCAACTTTGAATATGTAACTTTTTCAGTCTTTAAAAATATTAGAATTTTGCTAATTGTAAATATCTAGACTTTGATTGAAGTGTCATCTATTTCATTAATCTCCTGTTTTCATTGTATTTATTTTTACAGAAAATATTGCAGCTGAAAATTAAAAAAAAATTACAGATATTTAAAACTCAAATTTAATATATATTAATTTTTAAGAATAATTAAAATATATGTGTATGTGTGTGTCTAATTGTCACGTAATTTGGCTGTTTGCATGTTAGAGACCTGTTAAAATTTTGTTTCATTGCATCGTTCAACCTGTCTTTAATTAAAGAAAGCAGTGTTTGGGGCACAAGTTTCCGTGTGTTTGGGTCTTTGATTTACACTATGATCGACTTTGAAAATTCTTACCGTATGGCCAGGTCAAGAAGGGACTCCTTGAAGATATCTTTAGCGAAGCGTTGCCCGAGTCAAATTAACAAGCTATAAGTATATGGCTTCAGTTAACAACTTAATTCCATGCTTCTGCAACAATATATATGTGCATACCAATCCCACACCAAACATACAAATCCAAACCAATTGCTTTAATTTCTTGCTCATAAAAGAAACAACACTAGCAGCTGGTAAAAGTTCTTAACTGAAATGGGATTCCTCAAACAAAGAAGAGCAATACTTTTATTCACCCTCTTGGTCATTTCATTTACTGCACAATTTGGTGCTTCCATAAGGCCTCGGCATGGAGAGCAATTATTCAGGGAAGTTGTGCCTAATTTCGAGTCCCTGCAGAAGGGACCAGTGCCACCATCTGCTGGTTCTCCTTGCACCAATATCCCTGGTGGCTCGGGCAAATGTGTGCTCAATGAAATGAACGCTGCTGGCCATCTCATTCGTTCTCCACCCGCCTTTCCTGGCATTAACGTTATAAAGTTTAAGGGTATTACTTCCACGGAGGAATAATTGCAACAACTAACACAGCCAGATTCGGCAAATTCTTTAGAGTTATTGTGTAATGCAGCAGACATTCATACATTATATGCTGAAAACTGAAACTAAACCATTATACCTTAATCTCTTAATTCTTCTTTCTTTTCGCTTCTTTTACTACTCGTTTGTAGTGCATCCTGTATTCCTTTTAATTCTATTATCAAATTGTTAAATTTTTTGCAGTTCATCTTTGCCACATTTTTGCGTTTGCTTTGTAAATTCTATTCCCATAGAAAATTTTTCATTTTAATTTGATGCATTCAATGCCATTTAACAAGTTGTTACCCCAAACTCTATTAGTTCATATAATTATCTTTAAGAAATAATATCTAATAGTTCTAATATTTAAATCTCAGTATCTGCAACCACTTTCCTTGCCCTCAGGTTAGATCTTTTTGTAAAAACAAGAAGCAGTTAAAACTTAATTCCATCCCATGTTTTCAGGGTTAAGTATTATCCTAATGAACATAAATATGTTACCGAAATCAAGAGTTGAATTTGTTTCATGGCCGAAGTACACCTTGAAGCTTTGGATCAAACGGTGAAATCCTTCCCTACTTTGTAAGTATGTATCTCTATGGCCAAACATAGGCTGAAAATTATCATATATGCTAATATATTGTCTAGTAATAGTTCTTTATCTGATTGGCCTAATCTCAGATTCACGGAGGGAAATCTATGGATTCTAATGATAGCATGAAAATTGCTACATCAGCAGAAGGCAGCGACCCATTTTCTTTGACTGTTGAAAACTCTTGTATACTTAAAGTAGCTAGCCAATAAATTTAACGTATTAAAATCTAAAAATAAATTCAAGAATTCAGAATTTAATTCAATTAATTAATATAATTATTTTTAAAAGATGACATTTAGTAAATTTGAAATTTAAATTTTAATATCTACAATATTTTTTTTTATTTTGAGAACATGACTTTTTATATAAAAAAAAAAAATAGAACTTTGCGTTTCTATTTTTTACTCTTTAGGCTGACTTTTAAAAAAGGAAAGAATCTATAGAAAAGAAAAAAAAAAGTAAATTTCATTAAGTCTTTTAATTGGGATAAAATTATTCAAATCAAGTTTATTAATTTCAAAATTATATATTTCATTTGAATTTGGAATAAAATTCAAATCAAATCAATTAATTTCAAAAATAGATATTCCATCCTAAAGTTATCAATTTGATAAGACAAAAGTGATTCAGGTAAAAAAAAAATGTTAAAAAGGGTGTTTTAGAGATTAATATCTAAAAAAATAAAAATATTAATTTAGCTACTCATTAAAATATAAAAATTCAATTTTAACTTATTAATATATAATTAAAGAATAAATCTACCATTTTACATAAACACAAAGATAAATTGTACAATTTGACCAAAAAATCAAGGCCATGTGGGAGAGTTTGATTTTTCCTTTATTTATTTATTTACTGGGAGGGGGATTTGGTGGGCAGTAAAACAAACTAAACCAAGATGTTTCCTATGATTAACGTGTCAACCTTAATCAATGCGGGTCAAAAACAAGCTTACAAACCTTAAAATTTTATTATTTCAAATTCACTATTGTTTTTCTTTACCAATTCAAAGTTCAACATTTTTTTTTTTTTGGTATATGACTAAAATGTGATTCAAATGATAAATGCCCAAGGAAAATTTGAAACAATATATGCTTTTTCATTAAAAAAAAAAAAAAAACAATTTTGTTTACTGTTTTTGAAATTTCCAAAAAATGAAACATTTGTAGCACTTGAAGTTGTTCAATGCAAGTAAATTACTACTATTTCTTAAATTTTTTTTTAATTAAAGTTACAATTTTAAAAATTATATATGAAATTTGACTTTCATCCCCAATAGCAGAATCTTGACTTGAATATATAGTTGATGGCGTAGGATTATGATGATGAGCTAGCTGGATGTTGTTGAAAATAGTATTTAGACCATCTGCTTTTTCTATTGTTTTACCAAACGACTGATGACTGAGGATTTTTGTGATTGCACATGAAACTTCTTTGATTTTTTTGTTGAGTGATAAAGAAATTTTTAGATTTTCCTTGCTACATTTTATCTTAGGATCAATTTAAATAAATTTATTTATATTAAATTTATAAAAAAATTTATTTCATTATAATCTCCTAACCTGTTTGAACTTAAATAACAAAGAAAGAAGTGCATTTTCTTTATTACTCAAGCCAAACTTATTACATGCTAATATTTCCATTAAAAATGATGAGATAAAAAGGCCATCTTCATATTAATTTTATGTTCTTAACACTGATGATTAAATTTTGTTTTCTTCCATCACCATTAGTTTTGCTGTTTCATTTGCAAGAGAAAGAAAATAGTGTGATTTTGATTAAAAGAAAAAAAACGTTGGGGGAGTGAGGGGGAGAAGTATGAAAAATGGGGAAAAAAAAATAAAGGTAGGAGATGCTAACAAAAAAACAAGACAGAGAAAGGATACAAAAGAGAGAAAAACATAGGGATGATTAAGGCATTGATAAGGCCTTGAACGTTTTGCAGTGGAAATTAGAAAATAATTTAAATCAAATGAAAATGTGAATCATCTATTGTTGATATGATAATTTATGTATTTATGTTACATAAAAACTTAATAATTAATGTATTTGTCTTATGTTGTACATAAAAATTATATAACATTTCATGTTAATATGAAAAATATAAAATAATTTTTTTTGTTTTTATTAAATTCATACAAGATTTTTGTTAATTTTTTTTTTATTTTTTGCATTATTTTTATATTGTGTAATCTTATCTTATTTTAGATTGCATGCAATGACAATATAGCAATTGGTTTTCTTCAACATTAAGACTAAATATGTTTCTAAACATGATTAAAATTTTTTAAAACTGTGCAAATCATCCGACCTTCGTTTACAAAAAAAAAAAAAAAAAAGGAATTTTTTTGTTCACCAATTAACCAAAAAGCTTTCATTCATGCCCTCTTAATTGGAACCAAAGCAGATTCTTCATAATCCAGCATTAACAAGAACATAATCCACACAATCTTGCCATTTAAAATTTAATCATATTCTCAAAAAGTGAGTTCGTGTACGCATCCATTAACAAGGTCAGTTGCCATACACAATGCCCTTCCAAAATTCTACTTTTGACACAATTTTAATGTAATAACTCTCGAGTCTCAAAACATAAATCCTTGCAAAGTTTCCAAAGCACCAGAATTCATCAGCAGCCGGGACAGGGATCGGGTTAGAACCAACACCAGCACCAGCAGAAGCAGCAATACGGGTGAAGCACCTTCATTTTTCACAACAAATGTTATCGAGAATTGCAAAAGCAGAAAACCCAACATCCACTCTCTGTCTCTCCTTTGCAATGATTACTATAACCAGAACCAACATTCAAGATTAGATCTTCAATGCTTCTGTTCTCCAGGAACCTAGAAAACTTTCCATGTCAGTAAGAGTCAACCTTCGCATTCTCTGCTTTGATCAAAGTCAAACAACAACTACAAATAGGTTGGGCCAAAAAAAGATGGGGCAACAGAAAGCCCTAATAATATTCAGGGTTTAAATTAAAAATTAAATAAATAGGATCGAAATGATTATTTTATCTTTAGAAATTAGAATAAAGATTTTCCTGCAATTTTTAGCTTTTATTTTTTCATTTTACAAAAATTGATTCGGCTCATAATTATTTTACATTACAAAAGTCTACTCGTGGTTGATAACGTACGCTTCGAAACCAAGCAGGGGTGTTAATGAATAAAATGTATAATTCGTGGATAAATTTGATTATTGTTAATTTATATTCATTTATTAAATTTAATATATGATCATAATTAATATTTTAAAGTTCTTCAATTAAATGAATATATTATGAATATAAGAAAATTTTATTTATATTCAATTTATTTATAACGTAAAAGTATAAATAAAAAAAATTCAATGAATAGTTCATAAATAAACTTAATTTCTATCGTTTATATTGATTTATTAAATCTAGCAAATAATCATGAATAATATTTCAAATTTATTAATTGAACAAACAAATTACAACCATAAAAAAATTATTCACATTCAATTTACTTATTACATAAAAGCATTAACAAAATTAATATTTGACAAATCGTTCGTTTACGAGCTTGATTTTGATAAATTATTTGACTTTTGTTTGAATAATTTAAATTATTAATTAAACGAATTAATCACATATATAATAAAATAATAAAATCTATTCATTTTGAACTCCATTGCAGTCCTGATCCAAGGTGATTATGTGCAAATCTGAATCTGCTTCGCAATAACTCTCACATCACCAATACTCAGTCACAGTAAATGCTAATCAAACTTGATTTTAATCTCCTTTGGATGGCTCCAAGGAGATATTTCTAGAGCAAATGGTATACCTGAAAACACTCTGTCAAATAATCTTCACAGTGATGCTAGGCAGGAATGTAACGCAGAAACCAAAAACCTGACAAGAAATATACCAGAGCCTCATTTCTAAGAGAACTAAAAATGATTCATTAAAAGAAGGCGGTAACACTCTTTACAAAATGTTTTCCTCATGAAAAGATTACAAACTCACTCCAAATCCAAGACCCATCAAATTTCCTCGAATGCTTTATTACATTGGATAAGTAACAACAGAATCTGTAGGCGAATCAATCATTGGTTACCTTTTTCAACGTCCATTCGAAGGTCGGAATACTGTATAGCCATTGACGCCACATGCCAGATTAGAATACTCTGGGCTGTAGTATGGGTAACTCTCAGCATCTGCATTCCTCATACCTAATAAGGACAGTTCGGAAGACACCATTGGCCGCTGGGTCGGGATCAATCCGTCAATTTGTCCATTAGCACAAGGTAGGGGGCTAACTTGCGGAATAAATTCCATCGGAGTATCAAAATGGTTGCCCGAGGAACTACTGTAACCTCGTTGGGACCCATCATCTTGGTAACTCCGTGCTCGCTCAAACCTGCACGTGCTACTCGAGGATCCCATCTCATCCGACATGCCCAAATTAAATGGAAAAGAAATTTGCTGGTGTAATAAATGTGACCCATTGCCAAGGGAATGGAAGCCTGTTCCTGCCCTGGCAGCCCTTCCAACATTATGTTCCTCATCAAGCAAGTCATTGATGATATCAAGATGTGGAAACTCATCTGCCAACACACCTTGGGTCTGACGTCCAGACGTAGAGGCTGGTAACTCAGTAGAGAAATGTTCCCGGGATCCATTAGGCATGGACTTGTACAAGTCAAGATTTTCGATCTCACTACGCAACGAAGAAGGATCAGAGTGCATACTTCTACTGCCATCCCTTTGAGAACCCTCCATCCATTGGGGCGCATTAGGGAAGGTATCTCTAGTTACCAAGCCAAATGGAAAGCCTGATTGGACTGAACTTTGCTCCATCCTCTGGGAGCTCAGGGGTATATACACAGATGCAGATACGGGGGCAGGTGACTGCAAATATGCTGGTGGTGGATTGACTCCTGAGCTAGGGGAGTTAGGATGAGTAAAACCAGCTGAACTAGAAGCAAAGGGGTTACCCATTATAGCATTTCTGTAAGATTGAGGAAAATAACTAGTAGTTGGTAATGGGTCAGGGCCTAAACGTCCAGCTGCACTGACTGAACGAGCAAGAAAAGGAGTTGTTTGAACCACAGAAACAACAGGAACTGCTGGCCTAGGACCAGGACTTAGAGGAGCACTGGAGGGCCTTGACATCACAGGCATTTGTGGGGTCATAGGTTTTTCAGTTGGTTTCGAACCTGCAGCCTTCGGAGTCTCAGATTTTAATATACCAGTAATTTGGAATGATGTACTAGAAGATGAAGATTGATCACTCTGTTGCACGCTGTTTGATTTTGCCTTCCCAACTGGCATAGAATCTACACTGACAGCACTCTGGTACTCTGACCTAAACTGAGCAGGAGGAAGATTTCTAGGAGGGCTTTTTGGAGAGGATGGCATAGCAGCCGTCTTCTCTTTAGGTCTTTCTAGATCAACTGGATCTTGGGTGCTTCGTTTCTTTTGCAGCAACACAACTTCCTATTAGATTGAACAGATAAATGTCAATCATATAACCCATCAAGCTGAAAACGCAGTACAAGAGTAAAAGTAACAAAAAAACAAATTTAAGAGCTTAAAGAGATGGAATAGGAACACATTAATGCACCACCTTTTTAACAGCATCTTGCTCAACCCACTTTGTCTGATCTGGCAAGGATGAAACAGCAGCCTCAAACTCAGATTCACCAGCCTTACTAATTTGAAAAACATCATTATGGTCCCCTGCATCTAATGCAGGACAAGAAGGCCGATTATCAGTTTCTGTAGTCCAACTACTGCCGTCAATTGATATTTTACTTCGCTCGATCTTACCTCTACAAATTTGAAGACCCAGATGAGATAAATACCTTGTCTTAGCATCCAGACACATGGGAAGAAACCTTAGCAACACTTTACCTGGTAGATTTTTTATTTTGGTTGTTTGAAAACAAGTTCCCTTTGTAGTGCCCATTCATTACCACTGATGGTACGGAGTCTGTTGAACACGTAGATGAACTATCATCCATTATAGATGGGCTCCTTCTATCAACTACTCCATTCTGTACACATGATAGTCCACTTATGCCAATCCTGGCTTCTGTGGGAGGATGAATTTCCGAAGCATCTGTATCCCAATTAACAGGACTAGCTTCTCTGTCTTCTGAGTCAGGCTGAAGAACTTCAGTGGCACCATCAACTGAGTCAGAAACATCAGAAACATCAGCCAGAACATCAGACTTTTCAGGCGCTGGCTGCACCTCTGCCATCATAGAGGCTTCTTTTTCATCATCGGGGTGGTTTTCTTGGTGCTTCTCCTGTGCTGCCACAATAGCCTTCTCCCTTCCTTTATCTTTGCTTTTACGATTATTCCGTTTTTGCTTAGCCTGCAGTATGTAAGCAGGGCAAAATGTTTCGCATTCAGAAGAAAAACCTTAATGCTATCTACCCTCTTAATTCTTTCCAAATGAAAAAAAAAAATTACACTTCAAATTGCTTCCAAAAGTAAATTAGGGATTCTTTCTGATAACCACCAGAAAATTAATTTGGGGAAATGAAAACCTTATATTATTTCATTTTGTTGTGCTTAGGTGGTCCAAGGAGAGTGTTCATTGTGATATCTGCCAAGACTCTGCCATATAAGGTAAAAAAAGAATTATACCTGTTTTTTCTTTGATTTTTTCTTCTTTTCAGATGCTCCTCGTTTACCCTTCTGCTCACTTTCAGCCAGGCAGGCAGCTTCTTCACGGATGAGTTCTTCTTGCCTTTTCAAAGCAACAGCTTCCTGGTAGGCAAGTTCTATCTTGTTGCTGTATGCAAGCAAAAAATTAGGGCATCTAGTGGTACAAATAAGCAAATAATAGGAAATATCATTCATTGATATCCTATGGAGATTGCTGAATAGAAGTTTGAAACACTATGCCCCATCTGTTGGAAAGAACTTAAGTTAAATAAGACAATGCTCTGATCCTAGTTACAAGGACAGATGCCAGTATTTCTATAAGTAATGGAAATAATCAACAAGTTATTATTAGTTGACTGCAAAGTTAATATGGTACCTGAAAATATGAGCAAGAACAAATATTTCCACTGTCCTGCGACCCAATTCTGTAAGATGCCTTTCATCACGCCCAATTGAATCCTTGTTGAAATCCTCTCCAGAATTTCCATCCTACATAAAATGGAAAGGCTAGCTGAGAAAGGAAAAAGCTGAAACGCCATCTTTTAACTCCAAAAAAAGAACAAACAAATTCATGTACAAGAGCTTTGTACGATGTTGCTGTAAAAAACAAAAATAAATATGCCAGGCAAGGGGCTTCAAATATCTTTCTCAGAGTAGCACAGAGGAAGAACATTAGCTTCCAGGGAAGAGAATGCATCTACTTTTATAGACACCAAGGCAGAATTCATGCATTTGAAATAGAAGAAAATAATTCTACTAAATATGTCCCTATTTTTTATACTTGAGGTAGCCAAAATTTAAATCCTGACCACCAGAACTTAGAGTCCAGCACTGTACCAACAAACCATGCAGTTGTAAGCCACTAAATATGCCTTCATTTATTAAGAAATTTTTAAAATGGAACCTTACAAATTACTCTATAATCGCTTAAACCCAATGTTCTTACACATTAAAGCCTATCATATTCAGAAACTTACCTTTGTTCTGTTTTGAGGACCTTTCTCATCTTTCGGAGGTAATGGTTCCAAAGCAGCCCTTTCTAGAAGTAGTAGCACATCATCCACTAACACAAACATATCTTTATCCATACTAACTATTGGAGCTGGCATTTCTTCAGCATCCAATAATTTTGACTTCGCTATCTTGCCCTTACTCTGCCCTTCAAGAGCCTTCAACCCACTATAAAGTGAATCCATTACCAAAGTAGATGTCACTTCCTTCTCTATAAAAAAGTGCTTCACGACTACTTTCAAAATCATATCTATTTTCTCCCTGGACATTCGGTGCCTGGAATGTTGGTCAATCCCTAACCAGAAAGCACAAAAGCTGCAACAATTGCGAACAATTAGTTGGAGAAAAAAAGGCAACAAAAAGATAAAGGTGATGACTTGATGAGAAACAAATCACCAAATATATGCCATTCAAAACATAAACAAGAACAGTAAGTCAAAAATAATTGAGGCCACTTTTGATACATAAGGTCATGGCAACAAGAATTTGATGGTATAACAACAAAGGTCAAATTTAAGCACAACATCAGGCAAAGGTGATAGGAACCACAGAAATCAATTTATAGGAACACCCTCTAAAAAGAAAACATTCAAGCATGACAATTTTTCAAACACAGATGCTGCACACGGTTAAAACTGATATTCACTGATATATGTGAGTAATAAGTCACTAAACGTATTGAATATAAAATCAATTACCTTGACCATTTAGCTTTGTCCTCTATCAACTTCCCTAGCTTGTTTCGTCTCTCATCCAAAAAACGGCGACAAATTTGCTCTACATTTGTTAAATATACCCTAACAAGTTCTCTCCTATACTGACAATCAAGGCAGCGAAAAGGCTGGTCTGCTTTCTCCCTACAAATTCAAAATGAAATATTAAATTTGCTCATCAAAATGGAAAAAAAATAAAAAAAATAAAAAAACACTAAATCAGATGTACACAAATTAATACAACACATCAACTTGGTTGTAACATACCAATGCCATAATTTCAAAATGAACAAAAAACTCCATGCAAGGAACCTTCTTAAACTATAATGACCTGATTACTAGGCCAACTTGATCATCAAAGATATAATACAATGGCAGAGTGGAACAATTATCAATCAAATGTTTCACCCAAATCTTATATTGGCTGAAAACTGGGATTGAAAAAAAAGTTGTGTTGATAAGCATGAAGAACAACATCCAAAGTCTATATATAATGCTACTACTCATATAAACAGAAAAAGAAGGACTTACTTAGCTGCAAAGGCTATGTAACAAAGCAATAAAGATCAGTAACAAAGGCAGTTGTCTAAGCATTGAATGAAGCACCACAGGCAGAGGTTTGATTATTAATAAATTACTGAGCACCTGATGACTTGAACTTGAGCTTTTATTATTAGTGTGTCAGATTCTATAAATCCATCATAAACTTTTGAGAGTTCCATAAACTTTTTCCATCCCCAGTCATGCTCTTTCTTCCAGAATCGATGTAAAGTATCTGCAATCCGCAGCAAGTCATTCAGAGTTCATGATCTCTATTAGCCCTACAAAATTATATTCGAGAGAGCCAACCTGAATATTTTGATTTCTTTGGATCTTTATTCACAACAGCTATCGTAAACTGAGCAAAATGACTCCAACCTGTCTCAGAATAGAGCAAGCAACTATATAATTTCAACATATTACAAGATTAATGATAATAAATCCAAAAGGGAATTTAATGATAATATAAAACCTGGAAGAAGTTTGTCATGATTAGCAACACAGAGAAACAATGAGAGATGATTGCAAACATCACAACCTTGTGGATAAATTAAAATGTACCTGTCAACCGTGGCAAACAGATCAAATCAAAATTCTCGAATTTGCTAAGCTACAAAGCCATAAGTTCCGTTATAACCAACAATATAAAGTTTAAAAGATTAATCTGTGTTTGGGTACACGTGTACCCAAATATACTCTACATATAATTTAACAATGATATGAAAGAACAGGAATTCCAGAATGAAAATTATGAATTTGACAAAGCAAAGTAGAAAAATAACAGCCAATAATATTTATGCCCCATACCACTTGTAGCCACCAACTTCAAACACATTACTGCGAAGCTCTCTTTTGTTAATTTGTGAAAAATTCTCTATCTTCCAAGTATACTTTCCATGTAATTCAGAAGGTTTTGGCCCTACAAAGAAAATAAATTCAGTTTTAATAAGTTCTTATCAATTAAAAGAAAAAAAAGGAAGAATAACAAAAACATATTCCAAACACTTCATACTTAAAATGGCAATATAAAAGAAGTACTGGTTGAAAAAACTTCTTAACAAGCATTCCCTAACCCAGCTTAATTTGTACTTTTAGTACAACCAAGCAAGCCAATTCACCTTATAAAGAAATAAACTCAGTTTAAGAAGTTTCAATTATAAAAATAAAATAAAAAAACAACAACAACAAAAACAGATTCCAAACAGTTCATACTTAAAACAATATAAAAAAAAAAGGACTGGTTGAGAAAACTTCTTAATAAGTATTTCCAAGATAGATTAATTTGTACTTTTAGGGCACTCAAATAATTCAAAACAAGCATCATCTATTAGCAAACTAGCCTATTCACCTCTCATGTTTTATGATTCTCCCATGGTATTATGCCTCAGGAAGAAAAAGTTTCCAGTCAATAACAAATTGCAGAACTCCAGAAGATAATAAAAATCAAATCTAAAGTAAACAACTTTTTGTGGAACTACAGATGACATTTAAAAAAAAAATCTGAAGTATATAATTCCTGAGTCCTAAAAACCAATTGCTTGATCATATGTCACAGGTACACATCTGCAGGAAAAAATTCTCCAAAAAGTCCTTCCTTTTCATCCAGCCATATTCAACTTGCATATGTAAGAGAACTGGAGATAAAGGAAACAAGATAGAGAAATATTTTCTTAATATATCTTTTACTAGGTGAATGTGTAATGAGAACCAGGCTTTAGTACTTAACCTTCTATAATCAACCGTTCATCAATGAGCTAGAGCTAGAAAAATATTAACTTCACAGGAAGACAACAATAAACAAGTCAAAACCATCTATGCTAAAATTAATCTCAAGACAACCGTGGCTCCATTTAACATGCTTCAACAAACTAATCCATCAATTGTAGTTATGATTATAAGTAGTGCTTAAACATTAGAGAACACCTCAGTTGCATTCCAATATGTAGACAGCAAAATCCCAATAGACTACCCAAAACTGAATGCAAGCCAATTTTCTTAATATGCCACTCCATATTTTTAATCACTCATTTTTTTGGATACTATACTAGAAGGGTTCAACCGAAAGCTTCAATAGCCTTTATAATGGTTGAGAATACACAGACAGCTTACAAACACATGTTCAAATGAATAAAGAGCATTCAGCCAAACATGAAAGGGATGTAAAAGAATACCGCCATCATCATCGTCATCAGAGTCCCAGTAAGGGGGTGAGGTTGAAGGTGTTCCATTTTCCACCTGCTCAGAAGACCGCCATTCTGCTAACGCTTCTCCTGATTGACAACGCTGCCCGCTTGAAATCCCTTCCACAGACCTCCCCACTCCAGAGTCTTCACTTGCAAACCCAGCCATTTCCCGCTTCAAAACTCTTCACAGTCCTTCAGCTCCACTTGCTACACAATTCAAAACCTAGATAAGAAACGACTCAAAATTATTAACTCTTAAACCTCCCTTGAAATGCAAAATAATTAGAAGCATCATTGCCATAGAGGCATCTACCCCCACTTTTTTCTTATCTGGGTAGCATCCAAAACCCAAAATTAAAACTACAATTACATCAAAACTTCCAGGTCGTTCACGATTGAAGTTACCAAAATTACCCCCAAAACCAATTAATACACAAAACATTTTTATGTCCATATGCTATTGATATTAATTTTTTTTCAAAAATTAAAATAATTAACATAAAACCATATAAAATTTAAAAAAAAAAAAAAAAAAGCTATCATTCATTTAATTCGACCAATTCAACGACTACAAAAAAAATCCCACCGTTAAAATACCAAAAGCAATAAAACCCTAATTAAAAATTTTATAAAATCAATAATATAGCTCAAAAATCAACCAAACAGAATCTTATGAATCAGCTCATAAGACCCAAATTAAAATATATATATATATATCTAATTAAAAACCGATTGCGTGAACTGTAAGCCCATTTAAACCCCTAAATAAATAATAAGGATAGCCAGATTGAAAACCCCCAAAACCCCAATCAAAATCAAACCCTAAAAAATAAAAAATAAAAAAAGACCCAAGAAATAAAAGAAATATCAAAATGATTCGGACGACGAAGTGTAGATCGAATGGTGAAAACGAACCTCGAAAAGGAAGAGTCAATAGAGTTTTCTCTTCTTTTTTTTTGCTGAAATGGGGGCTATGGCAGCTCTATTGATATTCTAGAGAGAGAAATACAGAGAGAAACAAGGGAGAAAAAACGGAAGCAGCTCAAGAGGGAGAACGAGCAAAGCAAGAGAGACGAAAACCCATGAAAAATAAATTTTTATTTATTATATAGTAAATTCTTAAATATCAATTTTTTATAATTTACTAATTTTTTTTAATTTCTCTTCGCTTGTTCTTTTGCTCTTCATTTAATAATTTATACTTTAATATGGTATAAAAATAATATAAAAATTAATTGAGTAGCATAAGAAACAAAAATTATTTATAGTAATAACAAAGACGAGGGAAATAAATATTTTAGATGAAAAAAAAAGAAAAAGAATTAAAGAGGGTTTTATTTATTTATTTATTTTGATTAAAAAAATTTAAAGTAAATAAATTTTTTAATTTTTTAAATTATGATAAAATATATCATATTTTATAATTTAAAATAAATAATTATAAATTTAATATTTAAAATAACTTTAATAAATATTATCGATAAAATTTAAATTTAAAAATTTTTTTATCGATAAAGATAAATTTTAATAGAATAATCAATCACTTGATAATATTTATTTATTTATATACAGGGTCGGTGACAAATGTTGGAGAGCAAAAACAAAGGGGTGGCTCAATAGTCAATATCTTGACTCGTTTTGGGTGCCTTCAAACTTGTTGATCGGCGAAACGCATTGTAGGGTCCACTATTCTCTATATTTTATTTTTCATTTTTTTTCTTTTTCACTATTTTTGGAAAGGTGGCGGAGAAAAAGGGTTTTGGGCTTGCTTTGGCTTTTTTAGTATTGTGGTTGGGTTGTATTTTTTTCCTTTTTTGGCTATCATCTGATGATGCAGTGAATTAGAACAAGAGTTTGTCATGCCTTATTTGTTGTCTCAGGTTTTAAGCTCATGGTCCTGTTGTCTTTTCAACTCTAGACAAAGTTTACATGAAAATTTTTTTGTAAAAGTAATTTATTAAAAATTTTAATAAAAAATTTAAATGAATAGATTGATAGTATTTAATGTAAATATCAATGATATATAAAAAATTTATTAAAAATATTATTTATAATTCAAATTTGATTAATAGTTATTTAATGATAAAAATTTTATTAATACTTTTACTAAAATATTTATCCAAAAAAAAAAGAAAATATGTTAAATTTTTTTAAAATTTTACACACTTTTTATTTATATAATAAGATTTTTTAATTTATCAGTTTTGATTTTTTGTTTTAATTTTTATTTAATTGTTTCTAGTAAAAAATTTCATGAATTTTACTTAAAAATTTTCATATAAAATTTCTCCTACAACTGTTTATTTATTTGCATTACAATAAATTTAATAATTCAAAATATGATATAGTGAAATAATATTAAAATAATATAAAATATATATAAATATGACACAACTTAAAATTTTATTAAAAATTTATATGAATTTAATAAAAATAAAAAATGCATTTTGTATTTTCAGAGTTAACTCGAATTATAACTCATAATTTTTGTATAAAATTCAATTCAAATACAAGAATTGTCAGCATTTTATATGATATAAATATGCATTTTACTAAATTTAAACAGCAGATAGAGGAGATCTTATATGATGAAGTCACAACACTGACATGGCGAGATAAACAGGGAATTGGGGTGATAAAATCATTTCCTGGCTGCTTCTTTGGATGCCTGTAGCTCTTCATGAAATGGTTGGGAGTGAAGAAAACTACTTTCAGTCTCACAAATAAAGCAATGAACAAAGAGCTCAAAAAATACATAAATGGTGAATTTGATTTCCAAGGTTCCATTGTCAGTCCTGGTTATATTGAACACAGTACGCTTCATTTGTGGATTAAGGGAGAGTTAATCTTGGAATGAATTGTGAAGAGATGTTTGGGCAGATTATTCTCTCCTTATTTGTCATGGTTCTTAGCTATCCCTTGATTGAAGGAAGGATGGTTGAAAGGGTGAAAAAGGAGAAGCAGTTGGTAGAGGAGATTTCTAGGCAGCTATGTTATCAACTTCGAGGATGTTTTTCCAAATGTTAGCTAAAAAGTTAATCCTTTGCACACTTAGCTGGTATTTGAAATAGGATGATCATTTTAAATATCATGATGATTTGTACACGGTGATTAAATTATTGAGAGTAATTAAATTATTATTAAATTTTATTTAAAAAAATAAAATTTTTCTTACGGATTTGAAGTATTATGTAAAATTAAAAATAATCAATATTATTAATTAATATATGAATTGAAATATTACTTTCTCTTTAAATTGTTATTGTTTTATATTATAAATGTTTATATTTTCAAATTAATTTTCATTCTAATAAATTCAAAAATATGTTATGTATTTTTTGTTTAAAATTTTTTTATATAATGCAATCTTTTTGCTTTTTTATTATGAATTTAATAGATTAATTTATTTTCTAATTCAATTTGTTTATATAATTTATATTATAAAAATTAGTTTATGCATCAATAAATATATTTTTAATTTCAAATTTAATTATATTTATTATAAAATTAAATAAACTATTATTTTTAAATAATATTAAAATCATTAATTTATATAACTATCACAATATGTATGGTTATTTTCATAATTTTAAATAAAATAAAATATTTATTTTTTAATAATATCAAACACGATAATATTTAATTTTTAAAAATTAATGATTATTAACAAAAAAGTGATTTCAAATTACTTAATAATAAGATCATCTCAATGATTATATTACCATAATAATTTTACAAAAAAATCAGATGCTCATTTTACTGTGCTTTCAAATAAAACCTAATACAATTTTATAGTCAATAGATTTTAATAGTTTCTTAATCTCATCCCTACCAGCTAGGATCATTATTTTATTTTAAATTTATATTAAAATATTAAAAAAAAAGAATACTGGGATTAAAAGAAAATTGTCACTATATTCTATCTTAATGTTGAATTATGACATTATATTTTAATTTTATTGAATTTTACCACTAAACTTTTATTTTTTATCAAATTTTATCACTAAAATTTGATTTTAGATGATCTTAGAACAAAATTTAACGAAATAAACTATTCCATCCAAAATGTTTTTCATAATTAAAAAATAATAAATCAATTAATAAAAACATTAAAAAATAAAAAAGTTGACTTATAATTTTATTTTATAAAAACAAAAGCTTTTTTTTTTAATTTTTTCTTTTAATTTTCAAACTTAACCGATGATGGCATCGATAAGTAATAACGTTTTCAGGTTAAAATTGGTCGTTGTACACCAAATCCAACATATCTTACTCATAATGTTATTTTCATAAATTTTCATGTTGCTATTTTTCTAAAATTTAACAAGAATGAAATATTTTCATAAAATATTCCAGTTGTATCAAATTAAAAATGAAAAAAATGATATGATTTTAGTTTTTTATAAAGTAAAATTTATAGGTTAATCAACAACGGTAAGAATTATTAATAGAACATTGAATTTTTAACTTTAATAATAATTTTAATATTGATAACTCTAACTACCAAAAAAAAATTATAGGTTAACTTTTCATTTTCTAATATTTTTATTAATTAATTTATTATTTTAATTATTAAAAAATAAAATCTTTTTAAGGAATAATATTTTTGTCTAAAATCTTTTAAAATCAAGTTTAATTAAAAAAAATTATAATTTAGTGGCAAAATTTTATCAAACTAGAATAGAGAAACAAAATTCAACATTGAAATAAAGTATAATGACAAATTTAGTCTTAATCCCAAAAATACTCTTTATTCCAATATTGTTTACATTTTGATTTTTTAAGATATGATTTGAACGTAATTGCATCCGTTGTGAGTTGCACTTAGCAATAAAAAGCCATTTTTGTTTTTAAATGCTCCAATGGTTTGGGTGCGACTTTTGTTATGCCATACTTTTGTCTTGTCACTAGACTTTTTTTTAGGTCCAATGGAAGATTTTTTCCTATCATGGTTTTATTTTTCAACTTAGCCCCTTTTTTTTCCTTTGAATTTGTTTGATTTATAAAATTTTAAGTTTAAAAAAATATATAATTTTTAAAAAATACAATATTTGAAATTTTTTTATTTTTAAAGCATTACGTATTGAAATTCATTCATTTAATTGAAAAAAATTCATGTATATTAATTTTTATATAATTATTATAATTTTTTAAATATTTATGATGATAACTTTTTTTGTTTTATTAATAATAAATATTTAAAAGACAAATGATTCCTCTAATAGTAAAAAAATAAATATTTTAATTAATTATTATTTTTATTTATAAAATATAATCAATTAAAACTTTTCAATAATTAATAGAAAAAAAATGTTAAAAAAAGATTAATTAAAGTGTTCAAAATGACAAACACTTTAATTGATCCTTTATAAAATTTGTAAAAGATCAATTAAGGCATTTGGTTACTCAAACGTTTTAATTAACCTTTTTATAACATATAAAAATGATCAATTAAGGCAAAAATATCCCAAACCACTTACTATTTCTTTTTTTGTATTTATATTTTTATTCAAAAATTTTAAATAATTATGTTAATTCAATGTAATAAATAAAATCTAAATTAATTAATAAATAAATATTTTCATAATTTAATAATTAATTAAAATAAATATCTAATAAATAATAAAGTAAATAAATAATATTAATTTTTAATTTAATATAAATAAATAATTTTAATCTAATGATTATTAAGGACATAAAGTATAAAAATTATTATATCTGAACTTTAAATAAATTCATTATTTTCAAACTTTATTTTTTTTTCGTTATACTTAATTTTAGCATTATTATTACTTTTACATCAAAACACTCATCCTATCAATAATTTTAATTTAACCACTACAATAATTAATCATACTTCTAATATTATTTTTAATTTTACTTATATTAATATCATCATCCATCCAAATACTGTCTACTTAAACTTTTGTTTAAATTCTCCGTCCAAATAATGTGTAAGTTAAGCTTTTGTAAAAATAAAATTTTAAGAATGGAAAGATAAAAGTTTTTAGGCATTGTATTAATCTTTTAAACTGGTGCCTAAACCGGGTTCACACTCAACCGGTTAAATTTTTTTATGTTTTGGCCAGAAAAACCGGATAAATTTGGATATAAGAGACAAAAGGAATTAAAACAAAAAAAAAGACCGCCTGAACTCAATTCAAATTCTTTCAAAAGGTTTTCAATTCTCACTCTCGCTTTCTATCGCCGGAGCCCGCAACATGGATCCACCGCCGATTACTCTACAAATGGTTCAGGGACCACGCAAAGGCGAAACTATTGTATTCCAACCCGGATCCACCATCCAGATCGGGCGAGTAAAACGTGGCAACAATGTCCCAATCAAAGACGCTGGCATTTCTTCTAAGCACCTGACAATCGAATCCGGATCCGGAAAATGGATCCTCCGAGATCTCGGATCCTCTAACGGCACGACTCTTAATTCCAAGGTACTCCCTGCTGAAACTCCATTTGATCTACACGACGGCGATACGTTGAAGCTGGGAGAGTCTACGTCGATCTTGATCACGTTCGAAGGCCGCGGAGGCGTCGGAGAGGAGGTGGTGGAGAGCCGAAGGAGGAATCCACCGAGGAGAGGTAGGACTTTGAAGAGCGAAACGGAGAGTTTTAATAAAGAATTGGAGAATTTTGAATTAGAAAAGAAAGAAAATGTTAGGGTTACGAGGAGAAGGAAAAATGAGGATTCCGTGAATTGCGGGTTAGTAATTCCGAAGGTTCCAAAAAATGGGGAAGCCGAGGAGAAACGAGGGAAAGGCCGCCCTCGGGGGAGGAAGAAGAACCAGCTGGAAGAAAAATTAGAGGAAAAAGAAACAAATTTGAAAGAAGCAGATGGAATAGTTATTGTAAAAGATGAAGTGGATGAGGAGGAGGAGCTGAATTCGCTGCGCAACGAAGAAATTAATGTAAGAAAATATGACAAGATAGTGGAGGAGTCGAAGACGGAGGTTAAGGAGAGTTGTAATGGAAGGCTAGAGGTGGAGTTGGAGAAGATGACATTAGGGGAATGGTTTGATTACTTGGAGGTTAATTTGCCGAAGCAGATAATCGCGGCGTCAGAGGAGATGATTGAGGGTATGAGGAAGAAAGCTGAGAGGGTTCAGGAGTTCATGGTGGAGCAGAAGAAGCAGAAGGGTAAAGTTGCTGTGGGGTAGGAGAGGTAGGTATCCTATCAAAAACAATTTTTTTTTTTTGTGTTAATTAATTATTTTGCTGTTGAAGTTTGAATCTTTTAGCTGATTTCGAATGTTTATATTTCTCAATTTCTGTACTTAAGATGATTATGGAAGAATTGTGGGTTGTTGTGTGTTCTAGCATTAGAGCCTTTAGTCAACAAACATAAATATTGTCCTGATGGCTTTCTTAGATATTGGGGTAATTGCAAACTTTGATCTATTAAGAGACCTGGCAGTCAGGTATACTATGGTTTCATATCTTTATACTTAGTATTATGACATTGATATTGTCAAATTACTCTTCATGACAAGAATCAAGATAGAAGGTTTATGTGAATTTCCAACTGTGCTTCCTATTGCAGTGTACGCTGTATGCTTTATCTGGCCTCGAACGAATGCTGTTGCCTATGTAATTTTACTTTTAAAAAGGTCAAATATAGTTAGTTTGATGTATGCTAAGAAGGCGGTGAGTCTTAATGCTTGAATTATCTGCAGTCTTATATGATATTTGCGTGAATCAAAATTATTTGCTTCTTTAGGATATCTTCTGAGATGCTCAACTCTCATCCATATTGGAGTAGTAGTAATTGCAGAGCTTGGTGATTGGTAACTTCTTTTCTCTGAATGAGGTGAATAAAGGTTCTTCTAAGAGATAATTGGAACTTTCTATACAATCATTTGCCATAATGAAGTTCTTTATGAGAATTACGAAGTACTAGAGTTATTGATATATGCTTCCTTATGACTCCCCTTTTAAAGATAGAAAATCCCAAGTCTTCCTCATGTATTTCTCGACAACCTCAGTATTTCAAAGTTATTATTGGACTTGTAATCTGCTGAACCTTCCACCATGGCAACAATGTTTTGTCTTTGTGATAACTTGTATCCCATATCCTGCAGGATGAAAATCTTTAGCATTCCTCTAGTTTACTGCTTCATTTACTGGTATTTTTCTTCCCAAGAGTTGGATTTACAAATTGTTTATTGGCTGAACCTATGCATCTGCTCATTACTTAGGAAATGATTTAATTATCTATTTGCATTGTCATCTCTTCTCAAATTCTTTCTGTTCTTTGTATGTTGTTGTTATTAAATATTCGAAGTTCTTGCTATGCGCCTCTGCTCCTGACTTTTAGAAGATTTGGCTCTGATGAAATTATCTCAGAATTCTTCCGTTGGTTTATACATCGCATTACGAAGTCACTGAGTTCATAGAGCTAATGACAAGATGCTTCTGGTAACTGCTTTACTTTCAACCTGCAAATTTGCTATCCAAGAGTTGTTACAACTTGAATTCTGGATATAAGTTCTAAACGAAACCTCTGCCAAAATCTAAGGGTGCTTTAAATCCATCAAAATTTGTAAGATTTAACCTAGTAGAGATTTAATGTTCCAATGATCCAATCCTTGAAAAATGGTTGTCATTTCATGACCCTGAGGTCAAATTTTGCAGTAAAGGGTGCACATTATGTATAATTACATATATATATATATATATATATATACACACTCGTGTATGTATGTATGTATGAATTATAATATTTTCTAATATTGATTATCAATATGTCATTGTTTCAATGTGATAATCAATTATAAGTGATTTACTAAATTACTTTTTATTCTGGCCAACAAAATGAAGTTTTTATTAATATCAAATCTTGATTCATTAAGAAGTCATTAAATACACAAATTTTACTAGTAAGTTACAGAAAATATATTACAATAAGAGTATGCATATGAAGCTTGTAAAGTTGTAACTTAAGAATATATCTATTCTTAAATAAAATACTAGCTGTTTTTATGTAGGTTTTTACAGATGGAAATACGTCTCCTCAATTAAATTTGATTCTTTATTATTATTATTATTATTATGTTGGAAAATGAAATAAAAATTTTAAAATTAATAAGATATGAAATATCCTGAACAACTGTCAAAAGGATATTTTTATAATTCAAATTCATTCAAAATTGAGGATGAATCTAGTTTTTATATTTGAATCTTCCTTTCAATTAAATAGACTGAATTAATTTTTTTATTTGATGATTACTTAATCATCTAGGTATAAAAACAAAAGACAATTCATCATCTCACTCATATTTTATAATATTGTATGAGTAATGTCATATGATATATTAAATTTCAATTAATGATATGTGATAATATCGCATAGTATTTAATAGATGATGTGATATGTCATATCAGTATATCGTTAGAAACTAACAATTGAATCATAAAAAAATTAATATCATAAATATTAGTGATTAAACTGTAATTTTTTATAACTTAATAATCAAAATAAAAATTCTCCTAAATTTGGGTGACAAAATGTAGGTTATCCAAAATTTTAAGTTAACAAATCAATGGACCCATGCTCATCATGCAATATTAAAAATATAGTACATAAAATGACTTCCCCTGGAGTTAATATTTTCCTTCTGTATTTATCCTCCAGGTTTCAGGTCCACATTTTAGTGTATTCTTGTTCATTTTCCTATCAGCCCTTTCTAAACGTTTACACGAGTTTCTCATAACAGAAAGGCAAATTGGTAAATGGATAAATGAACAGAAGATATGGATGATAAAATCAGTTACATGCCATTTATATCAAAGCTTGGATGCAATATTGAAAAAACTTGCCCCGAGGAAAGCCAGCTTCTTGACAACCAACAAAGTCGTCAACAATGAACGAATCAAGCTATACCAGGAAGGTAAATTTGATTTCCAGGCATCAACCTGCATTTTTCTTGCACCATTACAATAATACTAGTGAACTTGGCATCAATTGCTTGAGGACTCGTTAGGATACGATTATGGGAGCTGGCCGGAGAAAAATGTTTGGACAAGTTTTACTCTCGTTTTACATCATAGTCATGAAATTTACAATAACTGAAGGGCTGTTAGTAAGGAAAAGATTAGGGTCGCATTCCTTCATCTGGATCACTGTGTTATCTGTTTTATTTTCATTCATTTTCTTGTCAAATTTTTTTTATCATGATTATATTTGTAGGTAATGTTAGGTTAATATTGGCTTATTATTTGCATTTGTATTTGTACGTCTATTCAAAATCATCTTAATCAAACTTTTAATCGTTTAATATCACACTATTACCAATTTTTAAATATTATTCTTAAAAAAATTATTAAAAAAATATAAAATTAATAAACTTTACATCGATGTAACTTGATCATTCCTTTGTATATATTCTTTACTAATACAATAAATCTCTTTTCTTCGTGAGTTCGTGTGAAAACAAAAATTATATAACTCAATATCGATTTTCATTTGTAGATTGGTATGAATATGTGATGAGAAACATAAATCTTCTTGTAGAGCTTATATATATGATTGTATACATACACGTATTTTCATCATATCTATGTTAACTTTATAATATAACTAATAGTTTTCTAAAATGTTCAATATATTTGAATCAACATACCATTCAATGCAAAAGAAAAAGTATAGTGCAAGAACAATTTTTTTAAAAAAGCTAATTTAACAAAAAAGATTAAAAAAAAAAAAGTAAGCTGCATTAATGCGTTCCAGAAGCTGCAATGACAAAGTGGTACCTAGGGTGTAAATGATACATTAGTACTCGCAAGCTACTCGGGTTCGATTCGAAAAAAACTCGAATTCGGTTCGATTATTATCGAGTCGAGCTCGAGCTCGAGTAGCTCGACTTATCGATCGAGCCGAATTCGAGTATTCTTATATCTGACTCGAGTAGCTCGCGAGCCTAATCGAGCTTTTATATTTAAATATATTTTTATTTTTTTTAATTAAAAAAATATTTCGAATCCGAGTTCGAGTTCGAGTTCGAGCATGAATAATCGAACTCTTGTCGAGTATACAAATCGAGCTTATTTTTACATATTAATCGAGCTTAATCGAGCGAGGCTCGAGTAGCTCGAATTCGATCACGAATCGAGCTCGAGCTTGAAAATAAACTCGATCGAGCTCGAGCCGAGTATCGAGCCCCGAGTTGTGAGTCGAGCTCGAGCTCGAGCTTCTCACTACTCGGCTCGGCTCGGCTCGTTTACAGCCCTAGTGGTACCAATCGGCTGCTTGGTAGTTATTTGGGTTTCCAAATGAAGCCATTGGGCCAGGGCTGTTATTGCGCAATCGGACTATATTAATGGCAGTTATCAACATCATTATGGCTCCAAGAATTTAATAAAGGATGTAAACTTTTCTGCTTCTTTTTAATTTAATATTGAGTAATTTATTTTTAATATATTAAAATTCATATAATTAAGTGTCGATAAATCGTATTTATTACAAAATATTATTATAAATAATTTTAATTAATTTAGAAAATATCTTAAGACCATTCTTACTAAAATCCTTATAAATAATGTAGTACTAATTTAGGTAAGAAAAATTGCTTTTCAAAGTTTAAAATTTAATTTAATTTATTTATATAGTTATTTTTAAGTGATGACATCTATTAAATCTGCAAATTAAGTTATGATTCATTTAGATGGACGATGAAATTAATTACAATGAGATTGAAATAATAGTAGATTTGAGATTAATTACTGTAACGATGAAATTGAAATCAATGATAAGATATATATTTAGATATAAAAATTATGACAGAGGTGAAATGAATTATGGTGAGAAAAAAATAATTATTAAAGATATTACATTAATAAAAATAAATTTAAATTATTAATATTTATAAAATTAATAAATAATTATAAAATTATTTTTATAATAAATAATATATCAAATAATGTTTTTATTATATTAAATAAAAAATTATTTAAAAATTTTCAAATAAAAAATAAAAAAGAACAAAATTAAACTATATGAATATATTCGTATTTATAATAAAAGCTAAAAAATTGTTGGGCTAAAAGCCTCCAATTCAATCACACCAGCGAAAGCGAAATCAAACAATAAATCAAACACACAAGAGAAAATAATTTAACATAATTAGGTCCAATAAACCTACATCCACGGATGAGAAACAAGATCTACTAGTTGTAGAGAATTACAAACATACATCAAATCATCAACCTCACTTAACAATCAATACTCATAAGGCACTCTTAATCTCCTCTAGTTTTATGAAGTATTCTCAACCCAAACAAACACAAATCCAAACCTTTGTGCACCCTTTCAACATAACCAAACACATACCCATATACTCTCATACATCATAACTATGTGAACCCTCTCAATCTCCTCTAGTTCACTCACAAACAAACATACACACCCACAAGACGTAAAGCCTCAATACTCCTATGAGGTATTTATCCTACAAAATCCTACAACTTTCTTACATCTTTTTCTCATACCTAACCTTGAAGAAACTTCACCTATTTATAACCATACAAACTTGCCCATTAAGAATCTCTCTCTTCTTAGAATTCTTCTCCTGTAAGTCAAACTTGCCTATTAAGAATCTCTTTTCTTTTAAAATTCTTCTCTTACAAGTTAAACTTACCTATTAAGAATCCTTTTTCTCTTAGAATATTTTTTTGCAAGTCTTCTTGTTCATCAAACAATATCTGACAAATCTCAAACAAATCTCTAACAAATTCCAAACAAATCTCTTATAGGATTTGAGTCATTATTCCCAACAATCTTCATCTTGACTCAAATTCTATCAAATCATCTGTCTTCATGCTAGACATGTTTGGCTCCATCGACAATGAAAGTCTCACAATCATCTTATTTTCTCTTGTGTCTTCACGCTTTATACAAACTAATCTTCAATCTTCAAAACTTAAACTCGATCTCTTCTCTTAAATCGAGCTCTTTTGAACTTGCTTCTTCTCATGTCTCAAATCATGCACTTTTCACATCTCAAACCTTTAGCTCTTCCCACATCTCAAACTTTCAGCATTTTCCACATCTTGAATCTTCAACTCTTCTCACGTTTCGAAACTTCAGCTCTGATATCACTTGTTGAGGAACACCACAGCTTTGATATTATTTGTTGTGCTAAAAGCCTCCAATTTAATTACACCAATGGAAGTGAAATCAAATAATAAATCGAACACATAAGAAAAAATAATTTAATGTAGTTCGGTCCAACTAACCTACATTAATGGATGAAAAACAAAATTCACTAGTTGTAGAGAATTACAAACATATATCAAATCATCAACCTCACTTAACAATCAATACTCATAAGATATTCTCAATCTCCTCTAGTCCTATGAAGTATTCTCAACCCAAACAAACATAAACCTAAACCCTTGTGCACCCTTTCAACAAAACCAAATACATACCCATATGTTCCTATACATCATATCTATGTGAACCCTCTCAGTCTCCTCTAGTCCACTCACAAACAAACATACACACCCACAAGACGTAAAG